AGGAAGAGACTGGACAAAAATCGTACACTTATGGATGAGGACAGTGGGGGGGGGGGGGTGAGGGCAGAGGGGGGGTGGGAACCGGGTGGAGGGGAGCTATGGGGGGAAAAAGAGAAACAACTGTAATAATCTGAACAATAAAGATTTAATTATTTAAAAAAAACTGAAAGAAGCTTTAAAACAAAACAAAAAGATATATCTCTAATCCTATGATCCTATTACAATAATCTTAACTTTTAACATACTGTTTTTCCACTTAAAAATCTCTATCTCTGTCAAAATATTCATGCCTACACCTCTATGGCCATAGCTTCCTGAAATTTCACTTTGAGAAGTTTATCCTAAGGACATACCTATGGATGTGGACAGAGATTCCGCTAAAACTTAGGTTTCTTTAAAATAACAATTTATTTTTCAATTACAGTGACATTCAATACTATATTAGTTTCAGGGGTATAGCATAGTTATTTATCTCCTGATAAGGCTAGTTTATTTGTTTATTTTATATTTTAGATTTCCACATATAAGTAAAATTATATGGCTTTGTTTTTTCTCTGACTGACTTTATTTCACAGGATGAATGTTTCTTCCAAAAAATTAAAAATAAAAACTTCCATATGACCCAGCAATCCCACTTCTGGGTATTTATCTGAAGAAATCCAAACCATTAATTTGAAAAGACATATGAATCCCTATGTTCACTGCAGCACTATTTACAATAGCCAAGCTATGGAAGCAACCCAAGTGTCCATCAATAGACAACTGGATAGAGAAGATGTGGTATATATATATATACAATGGAATATTACTTGGCCATAAAAATAATGGAATCTTACCATTTGTGACAATATGGATGGACCTAGAGGGTATTATGCTAAATAATTAGTTTTTCAAATAACAAAAGATATAAGAAATATATTTAAATATCTATTAAATATTATAACTCTATTAGGTTTAATATCTATAAAGATATTTAAATCTATTTTATGTAATATTAAGATATTTAAAATCTGTTTGGCTAAAAATCTATCATTAATAGGAAAATACTTAAATTTATCCCAGATCATACTCAAGAATACTATTATACCCAATAAAAGTTTGACATAGCATTCAGGGTGTTTTTAAAAAGCCATTAGTACACCCATGCTCACAGAAACACTATTCACAAAAGGTGAAAGCAACCCGAGATGGATGAATGGACAAACAAATGTGCTATATACATACATTTAGCCTTAAAAAGGAAGGACATTCTGCTACATGCTATAACTTAGACAAAGCTTGAGGACATCATGCTAAGTAAAATAAGCCAGTCACAAAATACTGTATGATTCCACTTATATATGTTACTTAAGTAGTCAAATTCATAGGTACATAAAGTAGAATGGTTATTGCCAGAGACTTGAGGGGAAGGGTAACTGGGGAGTTATTGTTTAATGGACACAGAATTTCAGTTTTGCAAGATGAAAAGAGTTCTGGAGATGGATGTTGGTGATGGTTGTACAACAATGTGAATGTATTTAACCCCACTGAACTGTATACTTAAAAAGTGGTTACCGTATGATGGAAAATTTCATGTTATGTTTATTTTACCACAATTTAAAAATAATAAAAAGGCCACTGGCTAGAGTTGTCTCACCTGACCCATTCTTCTTAAAAAAGTAAATTCACTAATACTGAGCTAGAAGGTTCAATAACTCTAAAAAGGTTTACATTCCCAAGGAGAGACATGAGGTAATTACAGTCAGCCCTCTGTATCTGTGGGTTGGGTTTAGCATCCAAGGATTCAACCAAACACAGATAAAAAAAATATTCAGAAAAAATATATACCAGAAAGTTCCAAACTTGAAGTGACCATGCACCAAGAACTATGCTGAGTCCATGTGAATGACATGATGTATAAGCATAGCCTGCTGTAGCCTATATACAAATATAGGTTATATGCAAATATTATGCCATTTTATAAAAGAGTATTGAGCACTTGATATCCTAGTGTTCCTGGAACCAATCCCCCTCCCAATACTGAAGGAAAACGGAGAGGCCCTGTGTATCGGAGGGGCCAAGCCAGGAGGCACACAGAGGATTAGCAAATGTGTGCAGGTTATTATCCTCCCAACTCACATGCCCAGACCGCCCCAGCCAACAGTGGTACCTTTCAGCAAATCTGCAGGTCTTCAATAGCTTCTTGATATGAAATAGCTGCTCCTGGATTTCCTAAAGTCAGAAACAAAATGGGATATTCATAATGTAATAAATAACACTGGAAATGTATGTCAAATTTAAATGTTATTTCTAACCTTGAAATGCTACAACACTATAAAACAAGCTTTTGAAGTAAAGTCTATACAGCAAGAGTTCAAGACTGAGTCCTGAAACTTGCAGAGGGTTCAAGATGGACCTAGTTTTTGTGGATCCTGAAGTTTACATAACATTGGCTTTCTTTAAGAAAAATACGCAACTATGTATAAAAGAAAGAGATCCTGTCACTTGCAACAACATGATGAACCTGAAAGACATTAATTAAGCCAGACATAAAAAAAAGGCATGGTCTCACTTGTATGTGGAATCTAAAAATGCCAAGTACATAGAAGCAGAGAGTAGAATGCTGGTTCTCGGGGACAAGGAGGTGGAGGAGATGGGAGCTGTTGGTTAAGGGGCACCGAGTTGCAGTTATGTAGAATGAATACGTCTAGAGGTCTAATGTACAGCATGATGACTATAGTTAACAATACTGTATTGAATATTGGAAATTTGTTAACAGTAGATTCCAGGTGCTCTCACCACACACACACACACACACACACACACACACAAACACACAAATACATAAAGGTAACTGTGTGAGGAGATGGATATGTTGAGTAGTAATCATTTTACTATGTGTAACAAGTCATGTTGTTCACTCAAACATATACAATTTTATTTAAAAGTAATAAAATTTAAAAGCTATGCGTAGATGCAAAACTATGCATAAATATAAAATTTGACATGGTGCCTTTGCAAGAGCCAGTGCAGGCGAGGGGCCCTGAGGCATAAACTCCATCCACTGGACAACAGTAAACCCGCCCCGCAGAGGGTCTGTCTGAATTGGGTCCCCCGTGACGGCGTAATGTATATTTGCGGCAGCAGGACCCTTTCAGCCGCTGGCCTGGCTTCCCCCAAAAGGTTGCTGCTCACCTTCACTCTGTCCAGCTCCTTGGCCTTCGCATACCGGCTGTAGCTGATGTTCAGCAAATTGAAAATGGGCTGGTGCCATATACTATCCAGCAGCCATTTGGAGAAATTGCTGACGTAGTACTTCCTGAAGTCCCACATGGTCAGGATCCGGGCAGGGATGCAGGACTCCGCATAGGAGTGGCAGCAGTCGCAGAAATACTTGCCCAGGTATTCACAGTACCGGAGCCGCTTCACAAACTCTGTGGAGCACACAGGGGATGAGCACCAATCAGCTGATGCTGAAAACCTGCCTTGGTGGCCCCACCTCCAATTTCATGCAAGGCTCATTGCTGATTGCTAATTACATGCTGCTAACGCCATACTCAACCTCACAGCAGCTGGGAAAGTGGTGGCAGAGACTGGAGGCCTTAAATCATGGCCATTCATGCGCTTTCCTTTTGTGAAACATATGTCAGAAAAATAGAACCCTCCCAACGTACTGCTGGATTTGGAAGATGGGCGGTGTAAACTGCAGTGAGACTTAGGGTCTGCCATCTGGCAGGAGTCCAGACTGGGTCTCTCATTAGCAGAAGGCTAAGGGGTTTTGGAGGTGGGCAAGTTGGAATTTCTTCAGGCTGACATGAGGCCACAGAGAGAAACTCAAAATGGGATTATAGGATACTAGAGGTGCTTGAGACCAAGATCAACAGTAATTGATATAAATGTGAGGAGTCTGGCAGAAGGCTGACTAGGACTCCTTTTGATATTCATAGGGTGAATATCTACATTTTATTACCTGCTGCTAACTCAATGGCCTAAAGCAAACTCCCCCAACACCTGGCAATCTCACTGTTTGCTAAACATTACCATTGATATGTCTGTTTGCATTCCTAAAGGCAATTGTGTATTCTAGCTAATAAAAGCAGCTGGGAAAGGAGCAACAGGGAGAACTCCACTTCTTTAGTTGAGTTATTCTCTGGTTCCCCCAGTAATTATAAAAATTAATATTCCGTCTTGTGTATCATTTGCACATCAGCTCTCCCCCAAGTCTTTGAACCCGCAAGCCACGCTGGCCGTGGACTCTCGTACAGAGGCCTGGTGCACAAAAATTTGTGCACTGGAGCGGGGGGGGGGGGGGGGGGGGTTCCTCAGCCCGGCATGTGCCCTCTCGCAGGTATGACCACCTGCTGGCTTAGGCCCGCTCCCCGGGGGATCGGGCCTAAGCTGGCAGTCAGACATCCCTCTGGCAGCCCGGGAGCCCTTGGGGGATGTCCACTTGCCAGCGGGGAGCAGGCCTAAACTGCAGTCGGACATCCTTAGCGCTACTGAGGCAGGAGAGGCTCCCGCCACCACCGCTGTGCTGGCAGCCATCAGCCTGGCTTGAGGCTGAGCAGAGCTCCCCCTGTGGGAGCACACTGAACACCAGGGGGCAGCTCCTGCATTGAGCATCTGCCCCCTGGCGGTCATTGTGTGTCATAGTGACCAGTCATTCCCAGTTGTTCTGCTGTTAGGGTCAATTTGCATATTACCCTTTTTTATATAGGATAGAGGCCTGATGCACGGGTGGGGGCCAGCTGGTTTGCCCTGAAGGGTGTCCCGGATCAGGGTGGGGGTCCCGCTGGGGTGCCTGGCCAGCCTTGCCGAGGGGCTGAAGGCTGTTTGCAGGCTGGTCACACCCACTTCAGGGTGGAGGTTCCTCCTGGGGTGCCTGGCCAGCTTGGGTAAGGGGATGAGGGCCGTTTTCAGGCTGGCCAGGGCTGCAGGATGGAAGCAGGTATCTGGGATTTATTTAACTTCTATAATTGAAACTTTGTAGCCTTGAGCCCAGAGTCAGGGCAGGAGGGAAGCTTGGCTTCCTCCATCGCCGGGGGCAACCCAAGCCTCCTGCTCACTCCAGCTCCGTGGCTGCCGCCATCTTTGTGACAGAGCGAGGGTTAATTTGCATATTACTCTTTTATTAGATAGGATTATACATATGAAAAGTGCTTTATAAATTATAAAGCACTATATATACATGTTAAAAAAGTAGTATCCAAAAGAATTCCTGGATAAATCAGTGAGAAACAAATGTAAAAATGCACAAAGGATGAGAACAGGCAATACACGGAGTGGAGAAATGCATTTAACCAGTAACAATATGAAAAGCACATCATCTCAGTAATGATCAAAGGCATGCATATTAAAAGACTGAAATACTTGGTTTTGCCTCAGACTGTCACAAATTTGGAGAATCCAGAGCTGCTGAGGCATAGAGAGTGGGCATGCACTCAGGTGCTGACAGGAGCGCTACCCCTGAGGGCATTTCCATGATATACTTTAATTCTTAACCATGCAGCATGAATCCTAATGCTGACATCCAACAGAAATGCTAACGTGCACAAGTGGAGATATAGAATGGTGCTCGTTACAGCATATTTATAATGAAGTGGGGAGCAATCTAAACATCCATAAGAAGCTACTGGCTAAATAAATATGGTGCACTCCACAGTGAAATGTAAGAGAGCCTATACAATACATGGAAGAGCACAGGCAGTGAACATCCAGTTACAGGTATGTAGCACATGATCTTGATTTTGTTTTAAAAAATAATACATGCACAGTCCAAAAAGTTAACAGCGAATACTTCTGAAGGGTAGGTGTAAGGATTTTTGCTTTTTGCACTTTTAATTTGCTGAAATAAACATGTGTTGCTCTTGGAAGCATCTTCAATAAAATATACTGACAAGAAAAAGGTAGAGACTAATGTAACAAATACCTGGGTACCCATCACCCAGCCTTAAGAAAGAAAACAGTGATTCAGTTAAGCCTCCTCTGTGCCCCTTCCTCAACAGTAGGGTCTAACATGAGCTGAGGTTCATATTTATCATTCACCATTTGACTCCTATTAGTTGGCACATATTGTGAGAATTAAATGAAACAATGATGGCAAAAGATCTCCCACAGTACAGAGCACACTGTAGATTCTGAATATAGTTTCCCTAGAAGGAATTTACAAATAATCAAGGTCTGAGTGATCACATAAGCAAACCTTCATTGAACATTTAGTCTGTGTCATGCACTGGTTAAATGTCTTACGCATGCCTGTATTTGTGCTTGAACCTCTATGAGGTGAGGACTGATACTTCCCCTATTTCACCAATGAAAGCACAATATAGGGAGGTTAACCACATGCCAGAGACACAAAACAGTAAGCAGGCAAGCAGGATTCCAACCCAAGTCTGGACTGGGGAAGCGCCAGGTTTTAGCCATCATATCCCACTTCCCATCTGCCACATTCCATGGATGGGAAGGGCAAAAAAACGAATATCTTTGCACTTGCACAGATTATCCTCAGACCCAGGTCACACTCAGAGTTGACTTTTAAATATAAACAAATAAATACGTGATTCTTATTATCTGTAATAGTTAATGTTCTGGAAAGTTGCCATGAACACTGAATTGAATACTGAAGCATTGCTCCTGAGGAAAATACAGGGTTAAGTTCCCGTGAGTCTCTGGGAAAAGCATTTTCATCAACCGCTCAACACATAAGTTTGTTTTATGTGTGTTTTTTGTTTAAAGACACATTATTCAATATATTTTGCTGATTCATATTCAATTCAGGGCCAAAAGCACTGTGACTTGTGCCTGAAAGAAACATATCTAATGCATACATTTTCTCTGTAAGGCACATCAGCCTTCTTGTGCTTAGGAAAACTAGACAACACATTAGCACTATGCTTGAGGGTATTTTAAATAGCAAAACTACCAACAAAAAGTATAAAATATTTTTTTAAAAGGTACTAAATAGACTGTTGAAAGAACTTGTTTATTGTATGCACTAAAAGAAGAAGGCAAAGCATTGCTTTGTTCAACTTCAGCTGGGAACGTGTGCAACAGGAAACAAATTTCAGGCAACTCAAATTTTTCAGTGTTTTATGCATATCTGTGAATGACTAAAACATGGTAAGCATTGATTTTGGAGTTACAAATAAATTTTAGGGAGCAAGCAAATTCACAAACAATGGAATTTGTGAATAATGAGGATAATGGTAAGTACAGTGGGGCCTTGACTTACGAGTTTAATTCGTTCCGTGACGGAGCTCGTAACTCAAATTACTCTTATGTCAAATAAAAAAATGAACGAGTGAGACACGTGATGCTGGGCTGATGTTGTGGCGTTCACTGTAACGTTCGCTGTGCCAACTAGCGGTGGGGTATCTGAAGCTGGCTTGTAACCCGAATTTTAGCTCGCAACTCAGACGGCTCATATCTCGAAAAACTTGTTAGTCGGGACACTCGTAAGTCAAGGCCCCACTGTACATATATATGTACATACACTATTATTTTTAAAAAATGTATTTTTATTGATTTCAGAGAGGAAGGGAGAGGCAGAGAGAAATAGAAACATTAATGATGAGAGAGAATCATTGATCAGCTGCCTTCTGCACACCCCTCTACCGAGGACTGAGCCCACAACCTAGGCATGTGCCCTGACCTGGAATTGAATCGTGACCTCCTGGTTCATAGGTTGATGCTCAACCACTGAGCCATGCTGGCAAGGCCATACACTATTATTAAACTCTTAATTAATTATGTGACATCTCTCTATGGTTGGCAAATTATTTGTTAAAAACTTATTAAGTACCTAATAATTACGTCTGAGTTCTCAAACTTGAAACTTTGAAAAGTCTATTGTATTGCATCTTATCTCCCCACCCTGATTAAAATCTCTGGTGTAGCAGATAATGAGTATTATTTTACTTATGACAGGTTTCCAATACATTTTATACTAAACTAGAGGCCTGGTGGACCACATTCATGCATGGGGGCAGGGAGATGGAGGGGGAATCCCCTCAGCCCGGCCTGTGCCCTCTCGCAGTCCAGGACCCCTTGGGGTATGTCCCTATGCCGGCTTAGGTGGACATCCCCTGAGGGGTCCTTAGCGCTGGCACAGAGGCGGGAGAGGCTCCCACCACCACCGCCGCTGCGCTCACCAGCTGTGAGCCCGGCTTCTGGAGTGCACTGACCACCAGGAGGCAGCTCCTGCATTGAGCATCTGCCCCCTGGTGGTCAGTGAGCATCATAACGACCGGTCATTCCACCATTCAGTTGATTTGCATATTAGCCTTTTATTATATAGGATGGGCAAAAAAGGAGGTATACCCTGGCTCTTGTACTCTACATTTCTAATCAAACTTAGCAAGATGGGAAGAAAAAAACAAAGTGCCTATAAATTCTGGATATAATTCATCTTTCCCTAACACCTAAAATACTTATA